TGAAGGTAGGGTGGTCATACGCTGATGTTCCCATTTTCATCTTGATGTTTGTGGTTCCAGCTACCTGTCTGATGATAGCTAAGCCCCAAACCTCAGGGACCCTACTGCGGGAACTGATCCCTTAGTTTGAAGCAAAAAAAAAAAAAGTTGGAGAAAACAGAGAGTTTTCAGTTGAGATTTTAAAATGAGAAATCTGTCACAGCCAGAAAATATTTCAGAAAATTCACATGGTCATTTACCATATCACAGTTCTCTGATGGCACAAAGCTTAGAAACAGCAAAAAGAGAGTTTTTAAAAATTGTTACAGTTTTTGTGAAAGGCTTCCTCTGACAAGAGCAACAGAAAAAAAACATAAGTACTATTAACAACTTCAAAAATATTCAACACTCTACTTTAACTCCATTATAAAGATTTATGATTTTCCAACATTTTTTCATTGTCTCACTTTTTCACACACACAGACACCCTAAAACATTCATGGCAGATATTTGTAAGTCTGTGAGAAAATGTAATCTGGTCACTGCTCTGGGCCTTGTACTCTGTGCTGTATAGAGGCACATCCCAGGTCAAAGAGAGCAGCCAGCTCAGCTGAACCATTGTGGACAATCTCTTTCCAGTTAAGCCCTCCAGGGGCACGCAGTATTTGTGCTTTTATGGGGCATGGAAGTCCTCCCAGCCTACGTTCCTTGCCATCTCATTAGCCAGCACCGGGTCATACCCTGGCCCTGACACAAATCGTACGCCAAGGGGAGTGAGATTTCGCTGAGACGTGTGGGCTAATCAGCTCCTGTGACTGGGTCAGAACGTTGGTGGGCCACGTGTTTCTTCCACTAGCCAGATAATTGTTGAGGCTCTAAGACATTTGAATGCCAATCTCACTGGCTCCCAAAAGAGAGTCTCTGGGAAGTAATGACCTGTCAAAGCTGCACCTTTGATCTGATGCAAATCCTGGATCTTCCATTTACAAGTTGTGTGATGTTTGGTAATTCATAGCTCAGTCTCAGTTTTATCATTTATAAAACAAATATAATAATGCCCCATTTCATGGAGCTGGTAGAAATATTAAACAACATTATATGTAAGCAGTAAACGTAATGTCTGCCAGATGTTCAATGAAGGGTAACTTCTATTATTGTTACTTTGTTCATCTTATTAGCTTTATTCTCTCCTTTCCTGAGCCCGCATTCTTTGCCCACCTCACTGAGACAATAAGAAGATTTTGGCCCTGATGTTTACCCCCAGAGAATCCTTCAGGCTTTTTTCCCTCAGATGAAAGGGTTGGGCATGAGCATTACCACTGTGTACAACACAGTGGCTGCTGGGTCCCTTCTACTAAGCTGTCCCATAGACCAGGGAGATGACAGCAAGGTGGGGGCCACAGGTGCTTCTCTGGGGAAATGAAGACTCCAAGGTTAGCTGATCCAATACAGGTAAAGAAAAAGATGATAAGATACAATGTAAGAGGGCTAGTATAATGGCTAAAATTAAAAGACTGATAATACCGAGTGTCAACAAGGATGCGGAACAACTGGAATTCTCAAATATTGCCAATGGAAGTGGAAATTAGTCCAACCATTTTGGAAAACTATTTGTCAGTTTCTAAGAAAGTTAAACATACACCTACCTTCTGACCCGGCAGTACTAATCCTAGGTATATAACAAAGAGAAATGAAAACATATGTCCACAAGAAACCTTGTAGAAACCTTGTATAGGAATGTTCATAGCAGCTTTATTCATAATTTCAAAAAACTGGACATAATCTAAATGTTAATTAACATGGGAATAGGTAAGAAAAAATGGTGATAAACCCATATAATTGAATACTATTCAGAAATAAAAAAGAAACAAACTATTGACATATGCAACAATGTAGATGAATTTCAAAAACATTATGCTGAGTAAATGAAGTCAAACAGAAATGTATGTACAATGAGTACATAATATATGGTTCCATTTATGTGAAGTTCATGAACAGGTAAATCTAATCTCTAATGTATTAATATGAAGATAGAAATCAAATCAGTGGCTGCCTCAAGGTAGGAGACAACTGGAAAAGGGCAGGAACTTTCTAGGATAATAAAATGTTCCATATCTTGACTTGGATGATGATAATATGGGTGTATATATTTGTCAAAAAATATTGAACTGAACTTATTGATCTATGTATTTGACTCTATATAAATTACATTTCAGTAAATAAAAAAACTAAGAAAAGGGTTAAAATAATCACTCCCCAAAGAGCACAAGCACAAGATTGCCAAATGCACATCAGACAAAAACACTTTTATCACAGTCCCAGATCGAAGAAAAGGTCAGGGATGACATTGCAGAGCAGAAGGAAAGTTGGAATATGAGGAAGGTGTGGGCCGTGGCAACAAGGCAGTCCCCCAGTATTAACAGGTGCAGTGCTGGAGCCAGGGTGGGGTGTGGCCATCATGTAGTGGAGAAGATGGCAGGTGGTTATGGGTCACTGTGGCCAGGAGAAAGATGTCCATGTGTCCAAAGATCTGGGAGAAGTAGAGCTGAGCCAGGTACCCTGGGTGGGAGATGGACCTGCTCTGGGTCTGGATGTTCACCAGGGCCTCAGGCACGGTGGTGGAAGTGAAAAGCATGTCTGCACATGACGGGCTGGTGAGGAAGAAGTACATGGGGATGTGGAGACGTGTGTCAGTGTCTGTGGCCAGGACAATGAGCAGGTTCCCAGCCACAGTGACCACGTACCTTCATAGGAACAACAGGAAGAGAATGCACCACTCCTCTAGTCACTCTGAGAGTCCCCACCAGAGGAGGAGGAACTCAAAGATGCTGGTCTGGGTCCCTCCTGCTATAAGTCTGGAGGCCAGAGTAAGATACCTGAAGCAAGACTCACTAACATTCTCTAAACATATTTCAGTATAGATTAGCAATATCCAGATACTCCTTGATTCATGGTGGAGCTACATTCTGATAAACCTATAGTAAGTTGAGAACATCTGAGTTGAAAACCCATTTATCATTGGCACTACAGTAGCAGATCGTCGAGACTTACAATGGTTCAACCTATGATTTTTCGATTTACAATGGTTTGACATGTGATTTTTCCACTTTACAATGGTACGAAGGCTATACACATTCAGTAGAAACCATAACCCCATTTTAAGTCATAAGAAGGTCCTTGAGTTACAATGGGATTATGTCCCTGATAAATCCATTGAAAAGTCGAAAACTTGTAAGTCAAACACCATAAATCGGGGACCATCTGTACATGCAATTCTATTTCAGAGGACAAAGGGAAATAAATGCATTTATTTACTGAACACCACTTCCACACAAGGCACCGTGTTAGATGCTGTGTGGGATATAAGCAAGGATGCACCAGAAACCTCTTTCTTCTCCCCAACCTGAATGTCTTCTGCCCTAGTTCCGTCTCTTCTCCTCTTATTCGTTGACTAGAAAACGCTTGGATATTTTGACCAGGCTATTGCAGTGTGAAGGAGGCGGACAATAAAACAAATATGAACATACCTGGGGAAAACTAAGTGGCTAAAGAGCACCTCACAAGGGACATTTGGTTCAGTTCTCAACCCTGTAAACTCAGAAATCTGCATCAAGGGTGGATCCACTTTTCAGGAATGGAGTCACATTAACCAAGCTTCTGATAAGGACATATATAAACCAGAAGGTTAGTTTATCCTGAAAACAGAACTTAAAGATAGACTGTATGTTCTCCCAGCACTGCATTATCTCTGTCTCTAGATAAGCTGCATCAGAGCATTTCTTGGTGAGCAGAGTCAGATTCTGCTAAGGTACCTGGGAGCCCTCTGCTCATGTAGAGAGTTTGGTCACGGAAAAGGTCGTGCCAAGCCTGATGAAACACAATTCCCTCTTTCGAACAGTGCTTCCGACGGCACTGCCAGCAAGTACCTTGGAGGATTCTTTCCCTGGATTTTCAGGGTTGACCAACTGCCTTCTGTTCTCAGCATTTTTTCTCCAAACAGGGTTTATTACAACTCATTAGCTTTCGTTTACCAAGCGAAAGCCACATATGATCCTGTCTCCCTGAGATTACCCCTGGGTCACCTTGATTTAGGTTGGAGGTTTTCTAAAATTCTTCAGTTTTTCAGCTAATGTTTTTATGTACTTACTAAATTGTCTGATTATGAAATTTGTGTGTGGACAGTACTCTTGTAACTCTCAGAGAGCAACCTTGCTTAAAAGTTCATAGAGAGGATGGCTCAGCCTACATCTATTATGTTGACAATATCCCTCTACTTTGGCTTCTCCACAAAAAAAATAAAATAAAATTTCATGGTGATAATAACATAAGCTCTCTGGGGGCAGGGATTTTGGTCTCTTTTCCCTGCTGTGTCCTCACCCGATAACAGTTTCTAGCAAAAGGCAGGTGCTGATCTATCCCATGAAATTTGGATTGGTTTACTGAACAACTGCCAGAGACAGAATTCAACCCAACTTCTCTGTCTTAGGGCATCTTTAATCATGTGGGAAACTTTTTCATTGTGCTTATCTACATACATACTAGATTTTGGAA